TTAGAGAAAATTTTAAATCAGTGTAGGGAACTGTTTCCCAGTCAAGCTTCCGGACACCAGCCCAGGGCCAGCTTGCAAAGAGGCCTTTCTAATGATAACATGTTCTCAGGCCTGCTTACTCTTTTCTGCACAGATCCTGAATGGCTACACTTTAGCAAAAATCAGGAAACAGACTGGCCCTTTTAGAGACCAAAGCCAAACTTCAAATCATCTCCATCCACGTAACTGGATTAAAGTGAACCAGGACTGCTAGCGCAGCTGGCTGCTGTCAAAAACAAACAAAAGTAATCCTAGCTAGAGGAGGAAAAGCCCTCAGGCCTCAAATTATCTCCACAATGTTTCATAAACGGTACCTGGCCCTCGATTAAGAACAACTTGGCACATAACATGGGAAAAGAAGAGGAACAACATATTATAGAAAAGACAAGGAATTTAGATAGCAGGGTTACTAGACACAGACATAAAAATAATTATGCCTAATCGTTTTAAGAAAGGACAAGATTGAAAATTTCTGCAGAGAACTGTAATAGATAGGTGTGTGTGTGTGTGTGTGTGTGTGTGTATACATGCTACTCTAATACTTTTTTACAGCAACACGTAAAAAAAATTGGCATAGCAGTACTTACAAAAATACCTTGCAGGGAGGGCGCAGCTGGCAAACAAACATAGAAGACATGCGTTATTTGCATAAAAATATGGCAATTAAAATGGTGTGGTATAGCCTGAAGGACAAATAGAGAGCCCAGAATTAGATTCACATATGATTTGTAACACAAGGAGCACTGGAGAGAGGCAGGCTAAGGATGATTGTTCCAATAACTGGTGCTGAAAATTGATCATGCCTCATATTCTATGAAAAAATTAATTCCAGATAAATTATATATGTCCAAAAATTAAAAGATAAAAAAAAAAATGGCTTCTAGAAGATAACAGAGGAGAATATCTTCATGACCTTGCTGTAGGGAAATACTTCTTAAGTAGAGCAAAGAAAACACTAACCATAAAGGAAATGATTAACACATCAGACTACACTGAAGTTAAAAAAACATCATTAAGAGATTGAAAAGGCAAATCACAAAATGGGACAAAAATATTTATAACATATATAGTCGCCAAAGGAAAGACAACTGCATAGGAAAAAAGGCAAGAGATTTGAATGGGCAATTCACAACCAACATTCAATTTGAAATGAACGTCTAAATGATTAATAATTACATGGAAGCATGTCCAACCTCATAAATAACCGGGAAAAGGCGAATAAAACAATCAGATATTAAAAATGCACACTCACCAGAATGGTTAAAGTTAAACTGACAAGACCAAGTGTTGGCAAGAATATGGAGAAACTGGAATACACACTACTAATATAAGTGTGAATCAGCACAACTTTGAAAAACTTTGAAAAACTATGACCCAGTAATTTCGCTTCTAGGCATTTGCCCGATGGCTATGCGTGTACACGGCACTAATAGACATTTACAAGAATGTTCGCAGCTGCATTAAAACAGAAACAACTCAAGTGCGCTCCCAGCGTTAAAGGGATAAATAACTTGTGGTGTACTCTTACCAAGGGATACGTCAAAACAATAAAACTCCTGTTACAGACAACATGGACAAATTGCAAAAGCAATGTTAAGTGAAAGAAGGTAGAAACAAAAGAATCCCCCGTATGATTCCCTTTGTATAGAGCTGGTAAAACAAAACCATTAGGTCAGAAGTGAGAACAGCGGTTACTGTGGGAGAAGAGGAAGGGGGCTATGATGCGGAAGTGTCACGAGGGGGCTCTTCTGGGGCACTGGCAGTTTGTCTTCTTCTTAATCTCAGTGCTCATTACACAGGCTCTGGCTTTGTGTTAATCTCTGAGCTGTACGTTTATATTATTGACATTTTTCTGAATGTACGTTATGCTTAAGAAAGCTAAAAGCTGGACAAAGAAGTCAGTGGCGCGCTTTACACCAGAGCATCTTAAAATGGAAGGATTACCACATATGTGTTTACGTTTTAAAAATTATGTATAGAGAAGTTATCAGTCTTTTTGTTTTAGTTTATGCTTTTAGTTTTTGGTTAAGAAATCCTTCCCTACTCCTGGGTCATAAGGATGATCTTGCATAGTTTCATCTAAATTCTAGGTTGACAGTTTGTTTTTTTTTCTCCAGCACAAAATATATATGTAATTTTATTCTATTATCTTGTGGGGTATTTACTGTTACCAATGAGAAGCCTACCTTCGAGCAATACATTGTGTAATAACTGTAAGAAAATGATTTGTATAAACAGTCCCTGAGGTAGGCCAAAAAAGTAATATCATATACATGAAAAAAACTGAGGCCCAGGGAGTTTAGATAATTTTACGCATCGTAAAAGAGCTGTAAAGTATAGGAAAACACTCATACACCCATCTTCTGACTCCCAAATTCCGCAGGATTTTCACTTCTCCATTTTAGTGGAAGACACGGGCTATGGGATCGGATATGGATACCAATTCTGGATTTCGCACATACTGTGCGATCTGAGCGTCAGTTCCCTCCTCTGTAAAACAAAGATAAACATCATCTGTTTTATAGTGAGGATGAACAATCACGGGTCCACAGGCCTTGGTCCCCAGTAGGTACTCCATAAACGACAGGAACAGTGTTCTATTCTTCTTTGCATGGGTATGTAAATGAATAGTTCATAGGGATGATTTTGGAGCATTTCAGTGTAACATATAATGTGAGTGGTAGGTACATAATGAACCAAACTGAGAAAAAACCTAAGCTCATAGGCTGTACCTGGGAGGCTGGCGAACAGGAGAGGAGGAAGGTGGTACAGAGAGCAATACAGGCAAATTACAGAGCGGATCAAAGACTAGAATACGCCAAGAGAAACACACCGCTTGCCTGCACGTGTGTAACTCCCACCTAACAAAGTATTATACAGATAAAAATAATTTCCAGTTAGCCTATTATTTGGATATCAAAGAGCAAGAAGTGCTTCTGAAGTGAGATGTCCTAAATATTTTATACACTTCACCTTTAATTCCTGGTATTTTGTAAAGACAGGCACCCAACTTTAAACTCAAAACTACTGTAAGTCTAAATTACATTAGGTATAAACTATAAAATAAACAGGCTAAGTAATGAGTCACATATACCGCTTTATAGTCACATTTGACATATAACTTCTTTTAATTATATTCAGACAGCCATTGCAATGATAAAACGACTGTTGTTTTATTTTTTTTTATCTTACTTCTAGAAAGTAAATGGGCCCCAGTGGCACAGAGGTTAAAGCTCTCAGCTGCTAATCCAAAGGCCAGCTGTTCAGACCCACCAGCTGCTCCACAGGAGAAAGATGCGGGGCAGTCTGCTTCTGTAAAGATTTGCAGCCTTGGAAACCCCATGGGGCAGTTCCACTCTGTTCTACAGGGTCACTATGAGTCAGAATTGACTCCACAGCAGTGGGTGGGTGGGTCTCGAAAGTAACTGTAACAGAAATTTACTCAGGAGCCCTTTTATCTCCACTCCCTGGAACATTTTTCTCAAGTTAAAATGGCAAAAAAACAACAACATTAAAACAAAATGAAAAACAAATTCCTAGATTCTTTTAAAATAGCTTTTTAAAACATACCCCATCCACACACATACCTCACCAAAACAACAATAAACCCACCTTTTTTTTTTTTCTTTTTTTGGCTAAGACAAAAATAGACAATATGCTTCAGTGTTTCACCAAACAGCTGTCGCAGAAACCGCTTTCCCATTAAATTAAAGTGAATGGCTCACAGGTGGTAGGAGTCACCGAGGATAACCAGCAAATAGGGCAACAAATTACTCACCAATTTGTCAAGAGTTACTTTAGATGAAGTGTGCACTTTTTATCTGTTAACTGGTACATTAAAAAGAAACAACTTAAAATGCATAGTCATGAATCTCCATCCTTGGTCCCTACTTTAAAAAAGTGATTTCGCTGATAAGGGTTCTTTTGCAGGAACACTGAAATCGTGGTTACTGGTCAAAAGTTGCTACAATGAACTTCTGGCAGTGTGTACGACCGGGAGGTGAGCAGGAGTGAGTGGTTACACAGTCAGTGCATTCAATCACTTCTTTTTGGGCTAATCAGAAAGAGTGAATCCTTTATCTCCTTAATACTTTCATAAAATAGGAAGACAAAATATTGATTAACCAAAATGGGGAAAATTTTTCAAGGGAACAACTGCGTTTTTTTAGTACACAGGAAAAACACACTCACAGACCGCACCACATACAAAGGGATAACGCCGAGCACCGTGAGAATACAAAGTTTCCGCAGACTCTGACCTTACTGCTTACTGTCTAATGGTAAGATAGAACACGACTAAAAAGAACAATAAAGTAGCCAATAACAAGTCATAAAATAACAACAAGACAATGTGTTGAGAGCTCAAAGGAAGGGCAGCCTGAGATGTAGGGGAGGCACTGAGATGTGTGGGATTCCACACGCTTGGCAGCAATAATATCAATATATAGCAAGTTATCCATCACGTGAGGTATGTTAACTGTACACCAATCTGCTGAGTCAATGCAAATTAAACCCCTGCCCACCCCCTTCAAAAAAGCCACTTCATCAAGATAGATGAGATATTTAAGGACTATTATAATTTTAAGAAAATTTCAAAATATATGTTTAAATGAATGAAACAGTACTTTTAAAAGAAGCTTGTTAGAAAACATTATCTGTATTGTTTGCTAATTATGCTGTTAAATAAAATAAATATTTTAAAAATAAAATGGTTTTGTTGACATTCATGTACGGCTAAAACAGATATGGAATAAGAAGGAAATGAAAACATTTGCTATCACTGACTCCATCCTGCCATTTAATTCTGGAGCAGGAACGGCGGTCTAATAGACAGGAACATGAACAATCATAAAATGGAAAACACAAAACTACAGAATGCAAGTATTCGCAATGGAATTAACAGCTATGTATTTGTAAGGGATTTAAAAAGGAGAAAGGACCGAGCTTCTTATACAACTTACCAACATAAAACGAGCAGTTGGAATGCAATAAACTTTCAGTCCATAGGCGACAGAGTTCACTTTCCGTCAGAGCTTCCACTCCGTAACAAGCTTGGTACTCCACCTTCGGGAGCACATAAACTGGAAATTGCTGCAACGCAAGGTTAGTATACTTATTCAAAGATCATCAAGCTTACTCGCAAATACACTTTGTCTATGTCGTGCTCTGTAGCTTTCCCGTCAACTATTTTACCCTTTCAACTAGAGTAGGTATCAGATAGGAAGACTGTTACATTTGAGCCTGACGGATAGAAGAACTCTTGGTAGATGTGGGCAAAAGGTGGATGGATAAAAGAGATCCTTCCTCCACCCAAAACCAACATATCCCCACATACATGCAACATCTGAACTCTGTCAGGAAATGTAACTGGCAGCAGAACCCCTGGGAGCAGAGTCTTCTGATACATTAACTGCTCAAAGGTTCAAAACTAGATGTTGCAATATATGCTAAGAATTCTCAAGAGGATAGAAAAGGTAAAGATCCGGCTTTTTGCCCCTTCAAAGAATGAGTTACATCGCCTTAGGACTCAGATACCCTAAGTATTTCATTGTTTTCATTCTATAAATGTATGAGCATTAATATCTGTATTAACACCTGTGAAAGTCAGAATCTTCATTAATACAAAAGCTTTATTCCAGACACTAAATGTTATAGATGGAACTGTGTCCCCCCCAAAATTATGCTGAATAACTTTTGAGCCTTTTGTTTGAACTTTTGTTGAATAACTGCCTCATAGGATTTCCCTGTACCTGTAAATAAGACCCTGTTTGGAAGTAGGGGTTTTCTTGTGTCATGGTAACGAGGCCATATGGGAGCAGGGTGGATCCTATACTGAACCCTTCTGAGTGGTGTCTTACAAACAGTGCAGAACAGACACAGACACAGAGGAGACACCACGTGACGATGAAGGCAGACGCATCTACAAGCAGCAAACGAACGCCAAGGACTGCAGCAGCCACCAGAAAGGAGGAGAGGCCTACGGAAGGAATCGATACGGCTGAGACCCTGATGTGGACTTTCAGCCCCCAGAACTGTGAGAAAATAAACGTCTGTTCCTTACAGCCACCCATTTGTGGTATTTTTGTTACGGCAGCACTAGGAAACTGAGACACTAAGTATCTGACAACTTATCCACTCAGAGTTTACTAGTCAGGACGCTAAACACAGTAAGTAAAATGATGGTACCCATTACTGGTCTACAGGAGGGATATGGAACACAGGGTCTTTGTGAAGTAATCTCATGGTGGTCCTATCCACTGTATTTATGCTATCTCATTTTTGCCAAAGAAAATTCTACTTTTAACAAGAGTCTCTCCATTTCCAGCTATGAGAGAAAAATACATGATTTAAGGGACTTAACGCAAAGGGATATGGCCAGTTAGTACTTCTGAAATTGTTTCAAGCTGTCTTCATTCATATACTTGAAAGTATTTCATCAATATTTCTGAAATCCTGATTTTCACAAAGCAGCAAACTTAGTGAGCTTGGCACAATGGTGATGGTAAGAATAACAGAAATTCAGTTAAAATTTCTGTTATGAACAGCAAGGGAGGTTCACATTTGAACCTTCTGAATGTTGTAAAACTAAAGCCAACCAAAACCAAATCAAACCAAACCCGTTGCCGTGGAGTCAATTCCGATTCTTAGTGACCCTAAGGACAGAGCAGAACTGCCTCCTAGGGTTTCCAAGGAGCAGATGGTGGCTTTGACCTGCCGACCTTTTTGGTCAGCAGCTGAGCTCTTAACCACTGCACCACTAAAGCAGTGCTTCTTAAATTCAATGTGCATATGAATAACCCAGTGATCTTATTAGAATACAGATTCTGGGAGGGGCCAAGGTTACTTTTTTAACAAGCTGCTCTTCCAGGGACCACACTTTGAGTAATAAGGCCCTAAAATGTCTTTTCAATTAAAAAAAAAAAATTAAATTGTGATGAGGATAATTTCATTGTTAAAAGTATTTGACTGTATAGCAATTCTTTGGAAACTGGTAGTCTGCATATGATTCATAATCTCTTAGAACTTCAGAGTAAACAGAGGCTAGAAATAAAGAAATGAAAGCCAAAAGGTTAAGAAATTTCCCCAAGGACACAGCTGGTTTAGAGCCGAGCAGGGAAAAGAATAATTAATAAAGAAGATTCTCTTTCTGGATGATGAATGGAGAACAGAGTTAATTCTAGTTTTTAAAATTAATACATATATTTCTGAAAAGAAAATACTTTGGGGATTTTCTTTGCTTGTATTGCTCTATGTACAGAAGCAAGCCCTAAATCTGGTTTTAATTTCTATATGTATTCTACTGCCATCTCCAGGAAGCCAGCGGAAGAAAAATCTGAGCATTTTATCTTGCCTTAGTATTTCAAAATTAAAGTGAAATTTTAAGCACAATCAAAGTTTTCATTCTATAAAAATCAGATTTACTGTTCCCTTTTCTCTTAATCGGCAGTTCTTATTCCCTCCGTGAGAGCTTCTCTTGGTTCTCTGCTCTCCGATTTTTCACGTGACCTTTTAAACTTTTATTCCTAAGTAGACACTTCACAGATACTATCCTCTCACTCATCCCACTAGGTACTTTCTATTCTTTCCTTACATTCAGCATCTTCAGGATTCTTTTTCCTGGCCCTCAAAGGCCAATATAAATTTCAAAATAACCGGATCTAAAATTTGTTTTTTTTTTGGATCTAAATTTTTGACCCATTTTAGAATACAGCATTTAGGAAAGTTTGTTAACTGTAACAGACAACAACAGATAACAGCAAATAATTCCAAGTTACTCAGTTTGGATTTCAAAATTACATGGAGAACTCAGGAAGTTCCAGCTTCATCTCGCGGTCTGAATTAACCCCCTTTACTTCATTCCATCCCTTGAGACTGGCTGCTATTGTGAAGTTCTCTTCAGTGCAATTCATATGTATTAAGCAGAAGCTTTGGATGAGAACGGGTGAATGACACTGCATGTTCTTCTCAAGAACTACTCTAACACAGACTCGAATAACCAAGGAAAGCCAAAGAAGGGATGAGGTGCTATACTAGGTTCTTGGACATCAGAGGTTGAAGAAACTTCTAAGTATTCTAACACTTCAACTGAACTGAATTTTAGGTAGGAAACATTAACGAGGAAGCATTCTAACCTAATTAGATTTTAAATAGTTAACTACTTAAAAATTTCTCAAACTAGTGCTTCAACCCCTTATAAGTTCCACTGCTTAACACCATCCTTCTTTTTCTCCACCTCTCAATTTTTCTCTTTATTCAGTATCTATTTATTGAGCTTCTATGATATAAAACATGTGGGGAAAATACTGATGAACAGGATATAACTTCAAGGGGCTTACACTCTACTGAGGGATTTAAACTACAAGCACTAAACTATTAAATATAATAATGATAGCTGTGATATGGTAAGCATTCACTGAAATATTTAAAATTTTACTTGGGTTTGACAAATCAGAAAACTCCTAGGCTCCTATTCAGATGCTCTTTGGGGCTCGCTTGTTGGGACATATTTTGCTGCAGAATGAGCTCTCTCCTACACACAAGGTATGAGGTCTTGACACTGACAAACGGCACTTTAATCAAGTGAATGACAATGCCCTCACGAAGCTGCCCCTTTCAAGAATTAAATCAGTATCCAAAATTTCCCTGGGCTTTTTTTTTCCTTAAGAGATACTGGCCATAAAAAATTTCTAAACACAGATAAATACAAAGTTGTACAGACTCACAGGGCAGGAAGTGAAAGAAATGAGGTTAGCTCCAAAATAAATCAGAGAGCTAGTAAGAAAGAATTAAAGAAATAAAATCTTGACAATACAGTCCACAGCACTGATGCTACACATATTCAAGACTTCCCTGCTTATGGTCATTAAATTCATCACAGTTACATACAGATGAGGCAGGAAAAAATCAGCAAATAAAGTAAAATCTTTTAATAGACAGAATATTAGTATTTATCTCGGAGAAGACCGACATCAAACCTACAGTATTTTGTCATTCCTTGACTTTCTCTTGTAAGAAGCACTCCCCTCATACAACTAATGCAAAACCATTTGGTTTCTAAAATGTCCAGTTTGAACCAATCTTTTATGTTCCTCACTTATTCGTGGATATGATTAAGTGGTAGTCAGGGACTGGATTCACAAAGGTCAAAGCTGGAACACCACCATTCTTGATTTGCTTGATCCCAAGCCCAAAACACACTGACATTTTACAGTGGTCACTGATGATTCTCACTGGGTGATGGGTTAGGAAGCAAGAGACAGATACACCAAAAACGGTCCTATGACACACGTACACAAAGGAAAACATTACCTTAAGAAAAATTAAACAAAAGAAATTTCAATATTTCTCACATAAACAACTATAATATAGAAGCTCCTCTTTACCAGAATTTGGTAGTCACACACACACAAAAACTGAACTAATCTCAAAAAGAACTTCACATTTCTAAATATGGATAGTAGCTTTAACTTTGTGGCAAAAAATGTTTTTTACTGAGGAAAAATATATCAAGCCCCCAAAAAAACAACAGGGGAAAAGAAAGCATTTGGTCTTCTAACGATCCTGGAAACACTTTTTGGATGTGTGTGACGGCTCATTTTTCAAAACATGGCCTTCTAAAATAAGTCAAGAAGATCCCCAAAGAAAGAGGGAACGGGGCTCATAGGTCATGTGGAAATCCAAATTCACTGAGAAAGCAGGAATATGTGCCAATCTAGGTTAAATCTGTGATGGTACGGTTTTTTCACAACATTTACATATTCTGTGCAAGAATGTGACAGGTATTCATGACTACTATACGTAATGAAACACTTTCTCTTATTAAAATTAATCTCGGTATTTTCCTAAAAAAAAAAAAAAATAAACCTGCAAACACTACTGTTAGGTGTGATCAACAATTGAAAATTAAATTTCATAATAATGGCATGTTAAATATTTGCTGATTATTTACTTACGTTACCACATCCTAACTTCCAAAAAACTTACTCTTCTGATTTTCTTCCGTTTTTTAGAACGTGGTCTTGTCTCTATCCTCTGGACACTGCAACGCGCGAGTAACAACAGGTCTTGAAGACTAAATAACTTATAAACAAAATTTCCTTCCTTAGGAGCTAGATATTCTGATGTATCTTCAACATAGTCCTGAAGTTCATATGGCAATCCTTTAAAAATAATAATTACATGTTCTTTTTTAATTTTAGTATATATTAGCCCTTCATTCATCATAATCCAAGGTAAAATAATTCCATAATCTACTGATAGGTTAGTCATAGTTCAACTTCTCTCAACTTTAACTTGCTACTTTCTCTGCCTAGTTGACCCTTCACTATTACCATTTCGGTTTATTTTTGCTGGAATTGCAGGACTTAGAGCTTTAAGGTGCTCTTCCTTTTAACTACTACTTTCACTAACTTTAGGCAAAGTACAAATTACTGAGTCAGCATATCAAGTAAGAAGAGACGAGTGTAAAAAGCCATATTATTCTTAATCTTGGCAGAGCTGAGGAGCAGCTTTATATGTATTCCACAAAATGAAAAAGTACACAGCTGCAATCCAGCACTAAGTATACACAAATTTTGGATTAATCAATGTTTACCATTATTTTTGATGCCCCTGCCCTTCACTCGTTGGTGAACCACATTAAAAACGAGTTGCCGTTGTATCGACTCCAACTTATGGCGAACTCGTGTGTCAAAGCAGAACTGTGCTCCACAGGGTTTTCAACGCTGATTTTTCGGAAGTGGATTGCTAGGCCTTTTTTTCCAAGGCGTCCCTAGATGGGCTTTGACTTCCAACCTTTCAGGTAGCAGCCAATCATGTTAATGGCTTGCATTACCCAGGTACAGCTTAATAGCCGCTGTACATGTTGGATGAACACAGGCTACAAAATCCATACTTTTGGGTACATATTCAGAGAGATTTTGGAAGCTGAAATACTAATCAGTAGATTGCAAAATGAAATATCAGTGATTATGTGAAGATTATAGAACAGGCTATAAAAAGAGAAAGTGAGAGAACGAGAAAAACCTAAGCAAAAGATAAAACATTTAATATAAAGTTATTTATTAATATATTGACTTACGTCCTTTTGGTTTCGGAAATGCAGAAGGCCACAGAGATTGTGGCCAACCAGAGACCTCATCTGAAGGAGCAGAGGGCTGCTCGGAAACAGGAAGCTGTTTAGGATTTTCTAAATTCATTACGGGCGGTTCAGGCACTTTTCTGGAAATTGGCTTTAAGAGTTCGTCCTGCATTTTTAAAATTTCCCCAACTGGATCAAATTTTTTATATACTCTTTTGATAGGTTTTTTTAAAATACATGACTCTTCGGGGCTACAGGTAGTATTACTTTGGTTTCCTGCAGAAGGCTGTCCTGAGGAGGGATTTGGGTTAGCGGGGTTAGGACTTAAATCAGAACTCAGAGCAGCTGTTTTCCCATTCCCAGTAGTTTTACACTCTGTATCGATAATTAAACAGTCTTCATCTGTATCACTATCGCAGTGAATGACATCTGCAGTTCTGTCTGCTTCTGACGCAGCAGTGACTTCCTCTGAATTGTCTGTATTCTCTAGCACCTTTAATCTTTCATCGGCATTTACTTTATCAAGAGCCGTATCATTTTTATGAGAGGTTTCAATCTCCTTCGTCCTAGAGCTCTCTAACGGCAAGGCAGCAGACGTTTTCAGTTCACTACCTTGCATCCGAGGCTTGTCAGAATTGGGTATTCTGTCACCACGTGATTCAATTGCCTGATCCCCATTCTTCTTGCCCTTGTCAGCGTCCCCGTCCGCACCCGTCACCAGCTGTTTCTCCTTCTGCAGTTGTTCCAACAGAATCTGAGATAAACTTCTAGAGTTAGCAGAAACGTCGGGGGCAGTTGTTGCCACAGCTGTGGCTGTTACCTTGGGGGCCGCAGGGGTACGTGCCACGCTGGGGACTGTGGAAGGACTTGTTGGACTTGGTGACTTTGACGATTTGGCGGTGGTTACTCCAAAAGTTTCAAGTTCTGTGACGTCATCATCAAAATCCAGATCCAAATTTTCAAGGGTTTCAATTTTTCGGGACTCATTAACTTCATAAGACATCTTAAGAAAATACATTGGTAAACTGTTAGCAAAAAAAAAAGTTTCTTTTTTGTACCCCTCCCCCCCAACTAATGTCCCCACCCCTCACATACATAGTTCATGGATCTTGAAAAGTAGAAAGAAAAGTCTAACGTCTCTGAAAGGTTCTTGCTTAAGATGGTACTAAACTATTACACCTAATTTATTCAACTCATCTTCCCTTTGAAAACGCTTGTGAAAAAACAGACAAATTTTCCAAGCTGTAATAGCACAGGAGACAGGGAATACTTACGAACTACCACAGCCCAAGGGAATTTCCACTAATCAAAAACAGACAAGACTACAAAGAAGAAATGTACAGCCAAACAGGAAGGCGGTATATTTCCACCCATGCCCACTCCACATGCTCTTGCAGAGACACTGGGCTTTAGCTGAGCAGGAGGAGGAAAGCTCTCGCCCCCATGAGGAGGCAGCCAGGGAGGCGTCAACAGCAACTAGGGCCCTCCTACCATCAACCAGTGACTTACTTTCTACACCTACGCAGGGAAAGCAACTCTTAGGAAAAGAAGATGGGGCAGTAACACACAGAAAGTGGTTCACTGTATTCTAGGACATGATGTCACTGAGACTGTAGTTTCTCATATATTGTTTTGGTTATGGAAGAATTAAAGACAGGTTTAATTTATCGAGGAGCCCTGGTGGCGTGGTGGTTAAGCACTTAGCTGATAACAGAAAGGTCGGTGGTTCGAACCCACCAGCTGCTCCTTGGGAAAAGATGCGGCAGTCTGCTCCCATAAAGATTACGATCTTCGAAACCCTATGGGGCAGGTGTATCCTGTACTATAGGGTGGGTACGAGTCAGGATCGACTCGATGGCACTGGGTTAATTAACTGAGGAATTAATTTTCCCCTCCCTAAGTAGACAAACAAGCAGTAGAAGATCACTCACTAGCTGTATGGATTAGGATTTTAGAAAAAGATTCAAACAGCAATTATGTAGTGAATCAGAGGATCATTTACCACCTGTGTAAGTTACTTAACCTCTCTGAACCTCTTAGTTTCCTCATTTCCAAAACAGGGATAATAGAGTCATCTTTTTGTACTTGTTCTAAGGATTAAATGGGAATTGTATATAGAAAGTCTCTTAGAATAGTGCCTGGCACATAATAAGTAGCCTCTCAATAAATGGCAATTCTTACTAAAATAAACAGACTACCATATTTAGTCAAAAAACTAGATTAAACTACAGGTAGTCCCCAACTTACAACGTATTCGAGTTACAATGAACCGCACTTAAAACCATTTGTTTTTTGGCACATGGTATCATTAGTAATATGTACTACATGCAGTGCTGCAGCCCGTAATTTGCTGATGTTATCATTCGCAGATGTTCAAAGATCGGATTTATAAAGATATTGACAATAAAAAGTTGTTGGAACGGAACCCCGTTGTAAGTCGGGAACTAACTGTATATGTTGTTTGCATGAAGCATTCATGCACAAAAAAACTACAAATAAAAAGTGGAGGAACAGCAATATTAGTGTCAGACAAAGCAGAATTCAATGCAAAAAGCGTTACGTAGGAGAAGGAGGAATGTTATGTTGAAAAAGATGAAATCTGTGATGAACAGGTAATGGTCATGAATTGTGACATGCCAAATAATAACATCAAGACATATACACAAAACTAAAAAAAAACAGGGAAAATTTGACATAAACACAATTGTACTAGGTCAATGAAACACTCTCTAATTAAGGAAAAATAACTAGTGATATAGGAAGTATGAATGAGGTTAATTAAATTATTTAAAAACATATATGAATGATTGAAAACATACATAGGCTACAGAGATACACCTTGATTTTACTCCTGTAACAACTTTGTAAGGGATTCCATCAACAATCCTTCTCTGTTGTTTAAGTGAGATGGGTTTTTTTAACTCCGCTGGGAGGACAATCTTGTGTGAGGTGAGCCAGGTTACCTTTCCTAGCTTCATAACTCTAGGCTGACCCATAACTGCTATCAAAAGTATGTATGTTCATACACATTTACGTATGTATGCATGCATGCATGTAGGTTTGTGTGTATGTGTGTGTATAAAACCTTCAGAACTTTCCAAGATCTGCTTCTTCTGATCTTTTGCATAGTTATTTGAAAACTTCTCTTTTCTTGACCCTTAATGTCCTTGTTCTGCTCGATTTGGATCCTTGTGCCATTGATGTTGCCTCAGCGAGTCCTTTGTCTTGAGACTGGTTGATTTACAGAGTTCTTAGGCCCAGAGCGTATCAGCACTCATTTCCAGACTCACCCTGCTCTCACCCACACAGGAGAGCCTATCCACAGTATTTTCACTCTTGTTAGTCTTCATTCCTTCCTGTGTTTTTCATCATCTTCCTTCCATTTAAGATTATCTTCCTTGTGCTTAACGAAAATGCATCAGTGGGTTGTCAGCTCATGGCAAAGTCAGTTTTTATCTGAAAATATCTTTAACTCATTCTTATTCCTTAAGGATATTTTCACTGGCTATGAAACTTTAGAAAGTGGGTTATTTTCTCTTAGAATATATTGCTCCAACATCCTCTGGCTTCCATTGTTGTTTTTGGTGAAAAGTCATCTATAAGTCTAACGCTCATTCTTTTACAGGTAATGTGAATTTTTCCCTTCTGTCTACTTTTAAGATTTTTTTCTTTAGTAGCCCAGTCTTAGTCTCTGTCTCATTATCTTTCTAAGACCAGTCGTTCTGGGTCCAACTACACATATGTTAGATATACTCACTGTATTCTCTGTATCTCTTATCCTATCTGACATATTTTCCATCTTTTTGTCTGTATGTACTTCATTTTGAATAGTCTTTTCAGATCCATCTTCCAGTTTAGTGATTCTCTCTTTGGCTTTATCTAATATGCTAATAACTCACTTATAGAGTTCTTAATTGTCTTTACTGTATTTTTCAGTTTTAAAATTTCTATTTGTTCTTTTTCAAATCTGCTACCTCTTTTTAAAGTTTCTAGCTCTTTGCTGAAATTTTCAAGTAGCTTTAGTTTCCTTGAATGTTGTGTAATTAAACAGAGTTGGCTTATAGTCTGTGGCTGCTAATTTTAGAATTCAGAGTCCCTGGGGCATCTATTTCTTTGGTCATTGTCTCTGATGGTTCTTGTTCACGGTATCTAGTCTGTTCTTGTGTCAGTTATCTTTAAATGTTTTCTGATATAGTATTTAAAAAATTATTTGTAGAAATAATTTGAGGCCCCAAACTGACACTATCTTCCTCTAAGAATTATTATTATTTGCTTTTGCTAAGCATCTGGAAAAACTAGCAATCAATAGCTTCTTAATCCTAGTTCAGGGCCTGAGAACACAGACCACAATCTATGAGAAAGCTGATTGACCTCTGGTTCACCTTGACTCTAGGGTGCAGCCCTGTGAGGTCCATGCCCTTGGTGGAAAACTGAACTCTGACTTTCTTCTCCCTACTTTTATGATAAGGAGCCCTGGTGGCGCAGTGTTTAAGCGTTTGGCTGCTAACCGAAAGGTTGGCAATTTGAATCCACCTACTGCAAGGCTGGTGGTTTGAACCCACCCAGCAGCTCCACAGGAGAAAAACCTGGTCATCTGCTCCCATAAGGATAATAGCCTAGGAAACCCTATGTGGCAGTCCTACTCTGTCACATGGGGTCGCTATGAGTCAAAACCAACTTGACGGCACCTAACAACACTTTCATGATGCTGTCAAAAGCACAGTTCATTTTCTCAGCTGCTCTTTCAGAATTGGCAAAAACCACCCATGGCAAAAACGACCCTCAGTCCATCTCCCTGGATTGCTGTCTTCTCCAGGATCTCAGTCCTGTAATTCTTCACTATCTCGTTAGCTCTTTGATGCTTTTAACAAAGAAATTTTTATATCCTGTTCGGCTCTTTTAGTTGTCATCAGTAGGGGAATGTCCCAGGGATCTAGTCTGCCATTACTGCATCTAGTCTGTCTTCACTGACGTCACTCAGTCATTTTTTCTCTTAACCTGCCTCACGTTTCTTCACAGCACTTGTTATTTCCTGACATTCGCCTCACATCAACCTGAGTTTTGGGTAGGCTAAAAATTAAAATGCAAAAGAAGAAAATTTTTTAAAAAAGAGTTAAAAGTGCTTTATGGTATACTCATTATAAAAACATTAACAGGCAAATGACAGAAAAAACATATAAAACAAATATGGAAGACAAAAGGTATGAGCTAAGCATAAGAAAAAAAGAAAACATTTTAATATTTTATTTTCTAATCTTGTTTCCTCCCTCGTTTTATTTACGTCTGTCTACATTCATATTTTCTGCCCTCAGAAAGGTCTTCTTAATTATGAATCTAAAATGGCACCATCCCCACTCATCTATCCCCCTTAACCTACTCGGTATTTCTTCACAGCATGTATCACTACCTGCTTTTTTTTCTTTCTGCTGTTGCTTAATTAATTGTCTGTATCCTCTTGCACTATTGTAATCTCTAAGAGAAAAGATGCTTTGTTTTTATTCATGGCCATACCCTCAGTCTAGAAGAGTATCTGCTCAATAAATAATTCTGAAATGAAGGCAGTTTTCTACAAACAGAATGGCTTACTTTAATAATCATGGAAAAAATAGTTAAAAGCCCACGAAATAATAAAAGGTAATATTTATGGAGTGCCAAGTATTGCTCTAAATGTTTTACATGTATTAACTCGTTTAATCCCAAAACAACCCTATGAGTTAGGTACTATTATGATACCCATTTTACAGATGAACAAACTAGACACAGAGAGGTTATATAACCTGCCCAACATCACAAAGCTACAAAATATACTGAAAAGGATAACAGTCTGGCCAAATACTTTTTTTTTCCTCCTTAATTTAACATATTCATTTTTATTTAAGGAGTGGGGAATAGGAAGAATGCCTTGAACTAAGACTGAGTTCTAGAATTGTTAAGATGGGGGTAAAGCCCTGCTTCAGATAGCTGAACGCAGCTGATCAGGGGATATTCTGACACCTCTGTCTGACTGATAAAACCTGTGTCAGAAGCTAGCGGCGTAGCGGTTAAGAGCTATGGCTGCTAACCAAAAGGTAAGCAGTTCGAATCCATCAGGTGCTCCTTGGAAACTCTATGGGGCAGTTCTACTCTGTCCTATAGGGTCGCTATGAGTCAGAATCGAATTGACGGCAACGGGTTTGGTTTTTCTATAATTCAGCCTCTTAGCAAAAGGTATTGCCTAAATACTTTTTGGACCCATCAAATTAAACTCATCTGTTTCTTTTTACACTTAAAAACCCTGAAATATGAATAAGGACAATCAAATAAAATTTCATATTAATTACCACCGTGATTACCACCACTATCATTGAGTGAGCTCTTGGTAAATACACATTAATGACCGTGCTTAGCTTTTTACATATAATAATATTCAACTTAATCCTTACGATAACCTTGTGATGTAGGTATTATCATCTTTATTTCATAAAGGAGGAAACTGGGGCTTAGGGGGGCTAAGTTAGTTGCCTAAAGTCTAGCTAGAACTGGGTTCAATTTTAACTTTGAATGCAAAGCCTGCATTTTTATTTACTAGGTTTATAGACTTGCAATAAATCTTTATACTTCAAAAGGACAAATAAGAAAAACAGAAAGCATTACATACGTCCACTTCAGACACACACTCTTCAGGTTTGTCCATAAACACCGCAGAGACTGGGACAGATGAGTTTTTGGACATCATGAATTTTAACGGGACTTCATGGAAGATCTGATTTCTCTCCCTCATTGTCATTTTCTTTCGGGGAAGTGGTGAATTAACGTAAATTACTTTAATTGGTTTCGAACCTTAAAACAAAAACAGAAAAAATGGAAGTGATTGGTTTCTAGTAATTATTTTTTAAAAAAAGAACAAGCCCAGGATGTATGACAGAAGGACCACTATACAGAGACACATGGGATAGGAGAGTGGTAGCCTAAGTCCTATACATTTGCCACCCCTGGACTAGATCTTTAAAGTCCCTTGATCTCAAGGCAAGATAATCTGACTGTCAAGTGAAATTACGTTCTCTTTCTAACATAATTTTTTTAAAGGATCTTCTGCTTTTTACTGTTATACTTTTACTGTCATTATTACCTAGTTCTTCTAGGGATATGATTTCAAAAAGTGATGAAATTTTTACCACAGAGATTGTATTAGATTCAACTCTAATTTGTAGTTTTGTCTCATGAAACATATTCTTTCATTTACTATAATTATGCTGTTACATACAATAACATTAATTATGGAAGATATGAAAAAAAAATTAAATACGAACCAAAACGGGGAATCATCTGTTATACAGATAAATTTATGTGCAAATATTAATTCTACTGTCAAAGGAGAGACTATCCCACTGCTAATAAGTAGACACCTAATTTAATTCTGAATTCCAACAACAGACAAGTAAACAAATCCTGGAAATGCCCCCATTTGTGGCTATCTAATAAAGTACTGCATTCCTTTCATTTCAGTAAAAGACAGAAGAACCTCACCGCATTTCAAGGGTTTCTGGCCACCCCAGGTTATGATGACTTCTCTAACGACCCCACCCCCTAACATGACCACAGATACTGCAGACCTAATCGTTCACCGACGAGTGTCAATCCTATGGTAACACTATGTGGAACAAGCTCTAGTGAACCCAAATGTGAAATTTACATCCTCCTTACACCAAGCCTTTCATTTCGGTCTTGACCATCACCACGTATGTTTAGACAGCTGAGATGGAACCACCCTAGCCTCCCTTTGAGAGCATCACTTGACACATCACAAACCTGCGACAGGAATTAGTTGAACACACACGGGAATTTCCCACTGCTCCTTATAGCCTGGTCCATGATTATTTAATAAGGTAAATAATGATTGACTAGTTAGAGCGATCTGTGGGTGATATCTTGAAACAAGCTTCTCTGCATTTGGATCTTTACTAATATCCTGAAAAACAACATACAACTTGTTACTCAATTATACTTATTGAAAATTTATTTGACAAAGTAATGAAAAGGCGGCAGAAATGCGGGAAGGGGGCTTTAGAACAATCCGGTTATATGTATTTTGTGAGGTACAGAAGATCACCTAGGAAGATGCAGACTCCCACCTCGCTACTTACATCATGCATGGCCGCAGCTGTTTGTTCTAGCGTTCCAATGGTAGCTATGTTATCTTTTGTTAGCTGCAGCTTTGCAGGCATTGAGGGAAATACTGTCTTCACGTATTTTACACTGCCCTAAATAAGAAAAGAAAAATAAATGTTTTACTGCAAAAATGTTGACGCAATTTTATTTTCCTAAGAAAAGTGTCTTTTCATCATATGAAATTCTTAACTTGAAATTCTTCATTCTACTAAATGAAAATGTCACATTTACAGCTTCCTTAAACAAAGACTTCCTTTTTTTTTTTTTCTGCTCAACAACCACACATTTTTCAAAAAGTGGTCCAAGAGAAGGGTGTCATGAACCTTTAATTTCTAATCTCTTGTTTTACAAGGCACAAGCACAGTAGAAACTCCAGAATATCCTCTCCACACACCCTTATTTCTACTGTGATTGGGAGTAAAATCCCTTACAAGAAAAGGGGGTGTTCTGCTTCTGTTCAAGAGCACCAGGGAAGACGGGAACTAACACAAGAAAAACAAGAAATAAAGTTGGCAGTGGTATTTTTAAACACAAAAGGGAAGCAGGTTGAAGTACTGTTATCCATACAATAAGAAGGAGAGAGACTTGTACTACGTACTTAAAAAGATGTATGTCTATCAACACATAAATGGATAAACAACACGCGATATGCACGTATGATGAACAGTTCCAGCCATAAAGAGAAATGAAGCTCTGCTACAGCGAAGACATGGACGAACCCTGAAAACACTACACTAAGTGAAACGAGTAAGCTGCAAAAGGACAAATACCATACGACCCCGTTTATATGAAACAGCTGGAATAGGAAAAGGCATAGAGACAAACGTTTATTAGTGGTTACCAAGGGCTGGGGGAGGGGAAATGGGGACTTCTGCTAAGGGGTTTCTGTTTGGGGTGAAAAAAAAATTAGGAATGGATAGTGGTGGTGATGGCATAACATGGCGAATGTAATTAATATCACTGAAGTGTACACTTAAAAATGCTTAAAGTAGCCCATTTTTTGTGATATTTATTTTACCACAATAAAAAAATGTTGTAGCTCATTATGATTCAAAGCTTCTTTTAAATCATAATATCTCTGTGAAATACAGAAGACGCTTCAGACAAAAATAAATTTATACTGTCATGTAGTAAAGCTTACCAGCGCCAGAAGAGTCTTTTCTAACTTTAATCCCATCTCTGTTCTGAATGGGAAGAATCCCATTAAGCTGGTAACTTCATGGAGAGTGTAGAATTCTGGATATTTTTTCACTTGTTCAATGCAAGCTTTTAAAATTTGCTAGGAAATAAAAATGAAGAAAAATTCATTTTTATTGAACTTTTCTGAAAATGAAACAAAAATACCGTAGTTACATGTGGCTATAAAATTATACATTCCAAACATTAGCTTAATTTCATTAATCAAGCTTCTAACAATCCAGGCATACTGTATATTCCTTTCTTATTTGATTCAATCTCTTATTTTTCATAACAATATCTTTTTAACCTAATTGCTTAAAATACTGATATTCGAGAATACTAAAATTAGCCATCTTATTAAAATTTAAAACTAAATAGAGAAAACACACTATATTTTCTAGGCTATTTAACAAACTGTCAAAGAAATAAAGCCACATGAAAATTTAAGCATACTCTACTGCAATAAAAACAGTTATATGAATGATTAGAAATAAGTAAGTTTAATAACCTAAAAGATTCCCAAGCACAATGAGCTAATGCAATAAGTTTATCCTACAGGTCATTTTATCTACAATCTAGAAAATAAATGAGAAATGGTATAACTAAGTCAAATGATGGATTTTTAAGTATTTTCTTCCTCTCTAAACAGTTTTCAAAATATTGATGACTCACTAGGAAATGTAATGATGAAGGAAATAAAATTCACACTTTATTCAGGAAGAATACATTCCACTTGTCATAATATGTAAATAACTCAGGAGAAGCATAGTGGATTTTGGGGGGGGGGATTTGTAATTAAAACATACACAGGTATTATCTTCTAAGATATGTATTTTTTCTTTATCTGTCAATGAATCTTTTTGAATTTATTTTAGATCTCAAAACCGTTGTTGCTGTTTTTGTGTGCTGTTGAGTCAATTCTGAATCATGGCGATCCTATATGGCGGAGTAGAACTGCCGCAGAGGGTTTCCTAGGCTGTAATCTTTATGGGAGCAGATTGCCAGGTCTTTCCTCCCGTGGAGCAGCTGGTAGGTTCGAACCACAAACCTTCTGGTTAGCAGCTGAGCACTTAACCATTGCGCAACCAGGGCCCCTTTAGGGATAAGCACATCTTCATAAGAGATCTATAGCCCCCTTCCTTCTGACATTTGTAAAATAGGTCGTCACAATTACCTAACTTTACTCCAGTATGTCTTCTCGTCTATAGTTTCATATATCTCCTCTGCTTCTCCAGTCCCCGCTCCCTGCTATCGTTCCAATTTCTCCCTTCAATCTACTCTTTTCAATACTGACCTTGATATTTAATTCAGGAAATCACTTGCAGTTAAGGCAGATATGGGGTAATATGAAAAAGCTGTTTATTTTAAGGAACCCCAGTCAACTGCAAACTCATAGCTACGTAATATCTTTGTTTCTTATTTATAATCTTAGTTAACTTTCACCGGTAAATTCCCTCCCTTATGGAAGCCATTAGAAGAATCTGAGCATTCAAAGGAAAGCACATAAAGGAGGCCTGTGTGACAGAGGGACCATTCTGGCTGGCTATTTATCGGCACATCTTTTTTGGCTCAACTGTGCTGAATGTTAAAGTGCTTTTTAGATGAATTTCACTTAATTGAGTAATTACAGCAAGGAGAAGGAATTAAATAAAAATCGAAGACAGTTTTATACCTGTTCTCAGGTATACTATACCACTATCAAAGATATTTTAAAATTGGTAGGTACTGAAGCAACCAAGGGACCATTATTTAGTCAATAAAAAAGTTTTTAATGAATTATTTTTCTTTGAAAAGCAGCTAACAGTGAATAAAGAGAGTTAAGAGATTCAGACTCTTCCCAACAGCCACTCTCTGAAAGCTATTTAACACTGAAAATATCTTGAGAGCTAATTACACTAAAATATGCAGGTATACAACATCAGTCTATCATTACAAAGAAAGCTGAAAATGACTATGCTCCTTAAATTTTATTTTGGGCTAAAAAGGAAAAATATGGGCACCATGTTTTGAAACTTAAAAATTTAATAGATCTTGCCGTGCATTTATAGAACCTACCATCATTTCTGTCCCACAGGTGGTAAACACTCAGGAAATATTTATGGGGTAACTGAAAAAAAAGTTAATAGATACCACTTCTGGACAGTGTGGCAGAGTACATACTTTGTACTGAAACCAGATTCTGTACGAATTACAATGACCAATTTCTATGTACTGCTGGGCTTAGTACAAAGCAAGGAGAATCTTTAATGATCATAAATAAACAAATAAATAAGCCACAAATATGACTGAGGAGAAACAGGAGTGTGAGCAGTAAGAAGGCCCATAAAAGCTAAGGTGACTTGAGGGCAAAGCCTTCAACCAGTTTTAAAGCCAGGTGGGGGCTGAACACAAGACTCTAACGTTTAAACACAGTATCTTAAAGGGGCTAAGTGGTTGAGAATCAGTGGTGATCCTGGCTACTAGCAGAAAGCATCTCCAGTTTAGGCAATCAAGACTCTGATAGATTAAATTCAAGAAAATATAAGCACACACACAGACAGACACAGGAAATTACCAAGCATTCAAGAAAACAGATACGGTGAGTGAGGACTGGGAGAAAGAGCAAACAGCTAAGAGACCTCAAGACACCTGTTGGGGAATTATAAGATAAAGAATACAAAACAATATATGAAATGCTTAAGGTAGTAAAGATGGAAACAAAAATTTATACAAAAACAAAAGATTATGAAAAAATGACAAAGAAGTTCACACCAGATCAGACATAGCTGAAGACAGAAACGGTAAGCTGGAGGGCAGATTTTTTAAATGTAACGTAGAGCTATTGAGGTGATGGAAAGGTTAAGATACAAAGGACAGACTGAGGTCTAACCTAGGAAAAACTGGAAATTCTAGAAGGACAGACTTGAGAGAAAGAAGAAAAAGCAGTACTTGAAAATGCCTGGAAATTTTCCAGAACTGATGAAGGAGAGGAAGCCACAGATACAAGAAACACAATGTACCAAGTAGGATTTAAAAAAAAAAAGTGGGACTCTAACCTCAATGCCTTGTAATGAAATTGCAGAACATCAAAGACAAAGAGCAGAGGGAGAAAAGACTGATTTCCTAAGAGAAACAACAATTAAATAGACAACATACTTTTCATTAACAATAATGTGAGAAAAAGTAGAATTATATCTTCAAATGTTGAGAAAAAAACAACTGTCAACCTAGAATTGTATATGGATAACAACAAAATATACATATTCCAGATAAACAAAAAAGGAGATTGACTGTTCACTACCAAGATGCCTTTATCAAAGGAATTTCTAAAGCATACTGCATTTCAGAAAGAACGAAAAGGATCTGATAATACAGGTTTGAGAAGAAGAAATTGTTAGACAAAAACTGGCAAACTTGTAGGTAAATTACACAAAAGTCCATATAAGGTAATAATAATGTGGGCTGGTTTAACAGAGAGACAACACTAAAATAACTACAACCAGAAAAAAAAAGGGGGAAAAAAAAATCACTGCCGTTGAGTCAATTCCGACTCATAGGGACCCTGTAGGACAGAGTAGAACTGAGTGCTTAACCACTGTGCCACCACGGCTCCCACTAAAATGACAATGGCACATAAACCAGGAGGAATGTGATGAGAGTCCAAATGCTCTCAGGTCTCCATACTGTTCGGGACAAGAGTTAAGATACTCATTAAAGGAAGTATTCACTGAAAAATTTCAAGAGTAACCACTAAAAGAACAGAGAGCTCGGTATAAATTCTAAATCACAGACGGGAAAAAAGTCAATCCTCCTAAAAGAAGTTAAAAAAAAGGAAGACTCACAGAAAAAGTAAAATAAGTAGAAAGCACAAATAAATCCATACACATCAATAATCATAATGAATGCAAAATGACTAAACTTTCTAATTAAAAGGCAAGAGATTGTCAGATTTTATTTTTTTTAAAAAAGAAAGAAAAGCAATCTAGTTAAACACTGTTTTAAGAGACATCTGTAAACTAGAAGATCTACAGATTCAAAGCACTCCCAAAGCAATTAAAATCCCTTCTAGCTTTTTTGTAGAAACTGACAAGCTGATTCCAGAATTGACATGGAAATGCGAAGGGCCTATACTAGCCAAAACAATTTTGAAAAAGAATGAAATTGCAGGACTTCAGCCACACAGTTTCAAGTTTCAAGACTTACTAAAATGCTACAATAATCAAGGCCGTGTGGTGCTGGTATAAAGACAGACATACGGGGACAGAATAGAGTAAAACAAAAAATCACACACACAAGGTAATTCAGTGAGGGAAAGACTAACCTTTTCCACAAGCAGTACTGGGCAGATTTCTCAATAGTGGCACCACTGACATTGTGGCTCAGATCAGATAAGTCTTTGTTGTGGGACACAGGAGGCTGTTCAGCAGCAGCTTCCCTGGCTCCACCCGCTAGGTGCCAGGAGCACCCCTCCCCTAGCTGTGAAAATCAACGTGTCTCCAGACATTGCCGAAGCTCCCGGGGCGAGGCGAGAAGCAAGACTGTCCCCGGCTGAGAACCACTCGGGGTAGGCAAATATTCCAATGATAGAACACCCACACCCACACACACACACACCCACAAACATTAACCATAAAAACTGAAAAATTAGGCTTCATCAAAAGTAAACTTCTGCAAATATATAAGGAACTTTTACAATTCAGTAAAAATAAAAGCTAATAAAAAAATCAGCAAAAGATTTTAACAGACACTTCACAAAAGAAGACAGACAAAGTCAATGAGCATATAAAAAAGACGGGCGACGGGAAATGCAAATTAGAAGCATAATGAGATACCACTACACACCCACTATTGGCTGAAAGGACAGACTGACAAAGACCAGTGTCAGTGAAGACCGGGGGCCTGTGGCACTCTCCCACATTCCTGGTGGGGGGTGTAAAGGGGCACGGCCATTGTGTAAACAGTTCCACAAGATTATACTTGCCGTATGATCTGAAGGTTCCTGGGTGGCGCAAATGGTTTGCACTTGGCTATTAACCTAAAGGTTAGCAGTGCAGGAGGGTAGGGGTAGGGATGGAAAAACACTAACTAGACAACAGGTAAGCGGTAACTTTGGTGAAGGGTGAGACAGTACACAATACTGGGGAAGTCAGCACAACTCGTACAAGGCAAGGTCACGGAAGCTCCATAGACACATCCAAACTCCCTGAGGGACCCAATTACTGGGCTGAGGGCTGTGGGAACCACGGTCTTGGGGAACATCGAGCTCAAATGGCATAACATAGTTTATAAAGAAAATGTTCCACATTCTACTTTGGTGAGTAGCGTCTGGGGCTTTAAAAGCCTGTCAGCGGCCATCTAAGACACTCCACTGGTCTCACCCTGCCGAGGGCAAGGGAGAATGAAGAAAACTAAAGACACAAGGGAAAGATTAGTCCAAAGGACTAATGGACCACAACTACCACAGCCTCTACCAGACTGCGTCCACCGGCTACCACTACTGACTGTTCTGACAGGGATTACAATAGAGGGTCCCGGACACAGCTGGAGAAAAACGTAGAACAAAATTCTAACTCACAAAAATATGAGAGACTTACTGGCCTGACAGAGGCTGGAGAAACCTTGCGAGTACGGCCCCTGGACACCCTTTTAGCTCAGTAATGAAGTCACTCTTGAGGTTCACCCTTCAGCCAAAGATTAGACAGGCCCATAAAACAAAACGAGATAAAGGGGCACACCAGCCCGGGGACAAGGACGAGAAAGCAGGAGGGGACAGGAAAGATGGTAACAGGGAACCCAAGGTCGAGAAGCCAGAATGTCGACATGTCGTGGAGTTGGTAACTAATGTCACAAAACAAAATGTGTACTAACTGTGGCTGCTTATCACGACGATAAAATGAATGCAAGTTTATGTGGCTGAATTCTAAAGGACCATTCAGATGTTTGAGAACTATGGTTACTCAAACATACGTTCTCTCACTAGGGAAATCAGTGGATCAGCTCATACCACTCATGTGAGTAAAATATAACTCTCAGATACAGTCGTTGGGTCATTAAAAAAAATCACATATTGATGTACTATATTACACAATGTCGAGCTCTGACTGTCTGCACTACGTAAACACACGATGAATACGTTCATCTCTAAACTGATGCTGATACTTCCGTACGCCATTGGTAGGATCATTCCACGTTTCAGAAAGCTGCTGTTGCCTATCCCTAGGCAGTTTACACACATGCAATTGTGTTTACCTCCGTGAAGAGACGAGCATCTGCAGAAAGCATGTTATAATCCTGCGCACATGTCTTTGCAGAATTCTGCAGAAACTTTAGGAACTCAGTAACTTCTTCATTCACATGCTTTTTCATATCCTGATTTTAAAATAATGGACATGTCTTGGAATAAAATGTTTGGTTAAGAAATAATCACTTCTCAAATATTACTGTAAAAACCTGAACTTAAAGAATAATTAAAGTATCACATGCAAAGCAGAAACTACAAAGAAAAAGTTGATAAAAATTATCACATAATAACGATCAACTTCTTTTATTAAAAACGCCACAAAAATAGAAAGCAAATGACTAATACTGTAATACAGGCTTAAGGAGTAACAAGCTTGTCTGTACAGGGAAAACCTGTGAGAGCCAGTAGTCGATGGGGCTGCCTGGTGCTCGTGAGTTTTCTGTCTTTGATGGTGCAGCCATCACTTTTCTCTCTCTCTGTTAGTGGAAAATACTTGAGTTTTCCTTCCCTGACAGGTTTCTACCTTACACAGGTTCTGGCTTTCACAGGTTTTACTGTAAAATGATCTTAATATTAAAGAACAAACATGTCAACGGAAAAACGGGCAAGCAATACGAACAATCACAAAAAAAGAAATAAAAATGGCTAAAAAGCACATGGAAAATCCTCATTTTCATCAGTAATCAATGTAAATTAATGTACACAACAGAACAATATTTTTCAATATTTCAGCAGAGCAATATTAGAGGCAAAAAAGGTATTGTCCAGTATTAGTGAAGGTATTAAAATAAAAAAAACTTCCATACAATAGTGGTACAAGATGGTTTATAAGCTTTTTGCAGAACAATTTACCAACATATAACCGCAGATCAAAGTCTTAAAAACATGCATAATCTTTGATCTGGCAATTTCATTTTTAAGAATTTATCTTAAGGAAACAATCAAAAGCATGAACAAAGATTTCGCTACCAAGATGTCCAGCACGGCATCATTTACATAACTTAGGATTTGGAAACAATTTAAATGTCCAATAATAAAGAACTGGTTCAATAAACTGTGTCAAGTTCTACGGCTACTACATCAGCAATGAACTGGAGGGAGATGCTCAGAAGGAGGCAAACTGCCTGAACTCTAAGAGAACTAACAAAAGAATTAAAGCGCCACACTCTGTCAAGTAAACTCCTTAAACTTTCTGTTTTTGTCAACAGGACTACACCTGACAACCTAGAAGACAATTTAAAAATACTTCCTAATTTGTAACATTTTTACTGAAGATGAAGTATAGACTACATACCAAGTACTGCAAATAGTCATTTTTATTTATTCCAACATCTTTGGAATTTGCAGGAACCTTTGCGTATCTAACCAACAAATCCACGTAAGTCCTCTGCTCTCTCTGGGAGAAACGGGAGAAACGGGGATATGGAACTCTGGGTTTTGGAAGAAGAACCATTCCAACTGTGGTTTTAACTTTTTCCTTCGCTTGAGCTGCTGAACCAACTGCTGGCTCGTTTTCTACAGAACTCGCTGAGGCGTTCAAAATTTCTCCTATGCGTCTGGAGAAGACAATAAAATACGATTTACAAACAAGCGCTTCTTACAGGACGATTACTATCACAGAACTTCATGATTCTCAATCACTGGGAGAATATAGTGTGATTAACATAGTAAATTCTAGATTATTCTCTAACTCTGCCACCTGCATTTTGATGTTCAGCCATTTAGTGTAGATGAAGTATTCTGCAGGATAGGATCACGCTGCAAACTTACCTTCAATTACCCGATCGAGAGGAAGAGGCACATATGTTAAACTATACAATCTGGAAACTTTTTCGCTTCACTGAAAAGAGGTCAATCACTCTCACTAATTAATATGCAGGTACTTCGTGTTTGTATTTTACTACAATGCAAGTTTTTTCTTTACACTTAAATTCTTCAGTAAGATATATCAGTTAGTATGGTGAACACAAGTCACTAAGAGCAGGATATGGTGTGGTTAAACATTTAACAAATTCACTGGAATTCTACATTTTGTGTTTTCTTCTGCCTTATCTCAAGAATTAAAAAACAAAAAAATTCCAACACTGTGTGCCATATTTTATGCAGGCAGTAGCGGTTCTAGAAAAGGTGTACAATCCTCTATCACTTTTGAGCCATGGCTGGGCCCTGGCTCAAAAGCCAGGGAAGTCTGTATGCTTTTTATGGATCCAAAGAGAACTCTTGGCATATCTATAACAAAATGTACTAGAGGAGGAAGGAGTGAGTACCAAGAGAACCTGTTACCATATCTGTTTATGAAATGCTACCCCCCAATTTTGGAGTCCCTGGGTGGTGCAAAGAGTTAATGCACTCACTAACGCAAAGGTCCACCCAGAGGCACCTTGGAAGAAAGGCCTGGAAGAAAGGTCTGATGATCTAGTTCCGAAAAATCAGCCCTTGAAAACCCAACAGAGTACAGTTCTACTCTGACAGACAAGGTCACCATGAGTAGGAATTGGCTTGACGGCAACTGGTTACCCTCAATTTTATAGAAATGTACCTTACCATCCCAATTAAGGTATCTGAATACAAAGTTTCTAACACCGTTCATAATCTATCTCTATTCCTGGTATTCAGCTACTGTAATCTACCTTTTTAACTGAATTTAAAAGTCCACAAAAAAAAGCTACACTTCCTCAGCCAGCACTGAACCTCTAAGACTCTAATTTGCAACACCATAACTGTTCCAATGAGTTCGCTGAAATGAAACAATAATCTACAGTGTAAGGGAAAATAATGAGATGAGCATCTTTTGTTTAATTCTTCATTCCTCTATTGGTTAAAATTTACTTAGTGACTACCATGTGCCAGTCCTATGCAACATGCTGGAGACAGAACCAGTATTGAGCCAGATACAATCCCTGCTCTCCAGGACTTTCCAATCAAGTAGATCAGACAAGTGAATGGGGAAAAAGAAAAGCAAATATACACACCAACACAATGTGACCATGGAGACCTCAGGTTTCCAATCTAAACATACTGAACTTATGTCTGTGAAGAATCTTACAGACATCATGATCAGACACGAAGAAGGAGAAAGGGAAGAAAGGGGGAGAAATATCCCCAGCAGTGGTTCTCAACCTTCCCAGTACTTATTCCCTAAAGGTATCTGGAAGCCTGTGAGTGGCTGCATCTGGGTTGTCACAATAAAAAAGGAGGAGGGGGATAAACAGCTTTTAGAGGCGAGGAACAGCAGATGGGATGCTACTGTTAGGTGCTGTCGAGTGGGTTCCAACTCATAGCAACCCTACATATAGCAGAACGAAACACTGCTCTCTCCTGTGCCATCCACACAACAGTAGATATGTTTGAGCACATTGTTGCAGCCACTGTCATTCCACCTTGTTGAGGGTCTTCTTCTTTTTTGCTGACCCTCTACTTTACCAAGCATGATGTCCTTTCTCCGGGGGCTGGTCCCTGCCGACAACGTGTCCAAAGTAAGCGAGACAAAGTCTCACCATCTTTGCTTCTAAGGATCATCCTGGCTGTACTTCTTCCAAGACAGATCTGTTTTTCTGGCAGTCCCTGGTATATTCAATACTCTTCGCCAACACCATAATTCAAATGTGACAATTCTTCTTCAGCCTTTTTCACCGGCCAGCTTTCACGCGCATAAGAAGCGACTGAAAATACCACTGCTCGGGGCAGGCGCACCTTAGTCCTCAAAGTGACATCTTTGCTTTTCAACACTTTAAAGAGGTCTTTCGCAGAAGATGTGCCCGATGCAATGCGTCTTTTGTCTTCTTGACTGCTGCTTCCATGGGCGTTGATTGTAGATCCAAGTAAAATGAGATCCTTGACAACTTCAATCTTTTCTCTGTTTATCATAATGTTGCTTATTGGTCCAGTTGTGAGGATTTTTGTTTTCTTTATGTTGAGGTGTAATCCATACTGAAGGCTGTGGTCTTTGGTCTTCATCAGTAAGTGCTTCAAGTCCTCCTCACTTTGGGCAAGCAAGGTTGTGCGAGGACGTGTGGTAGCACTGTTCTGCACAACGAAGAATGAAGGTCTACATTCAGGGACCCCTTCAGGCTTTACCTTACTGTATACAAGTCTGGTCTCTTATTACTTGTCATAACAAATAACAATACATTTTATTCTCTTATTTTTCCCATGATTCTTTTATGGTAGAACTTATCTTCTTAAGTTCAATGTTATTCATTTTAACTTGTGTATATAACTTCATTATATCTTCTAGTGTAGTGTCTATGCATTTATATACTAAAATACATATTATTTTAATATACGTTATTTTCCTTTTATTTCATCTTTTATATTTATGACATTATATTATTCTTAAAAATTATGTGTATGGTTATTATTGTCTACAAATTTGATTTTAGGCTAGTAAAAGAGGTGTTTTATTTCCCATAAATATTTGTTTCAAAAAAGTGGGCTGGGAGTTTTGGCCTGATAAGGTTGAGAATTGCCAATCTAGAGTTGTGTCTGGGCAAAGGGTGAGTTAAGGCCTATCCAAAACTACAACTGATTTGTTCTAAATCAAGTTTACAATACTAGAATATGGTAAAAATTCCAAAAGATGAAAAGAATATTTTTAAAAAAGATGTAGGCCCCAAAATAAAGCAAAATATTCCAAAATACTCTCTTAGAGCTGAACAATGGCTGTAAAACTCATCAAGAGAGCTGGTTAGTGAATGGGAAAGAAATCTTGGAAATTAAAATAAGGATCCTTTGGGTTGACTCTGAAAATAACATAGGCCAAAGAAGACATACTTAGCTGCTAAACTTTCTCCAGTAACTGTATAAAAATAAGCATGTTTTAGGTTAACAAAATGAGTATTAACTGCTGATCTTGGGAGAAATGTATTCCAGCAAATTGATTCCTCACTAGAAAATGTCTTGAGAGCTATTCACACCTAACAGTACTGTGCCCACAACGCTGAACAATACTGCTTCACAGCTGTCTCTCTGAATATGAGAACATGTCTGTCCTTGTGGCACCCACTGGCAAATTTAATTAAGCTGCTGCAGCAACAAGATGCTGACTCAGATATGCCAGCGTATGAATGTCACAAAAGTCTAGCAGTTTAAATTGGCTACATCCAGCAAATAATGAAATGGCAGCACATCAAGATCATTTCAGTGTGCAGTGCTGTCAAAATCTTCATCAGCGTGCAAACCAAAAGCATCTGACAGGGTTTCTCTATCCACATTTACAGCATTATATTTTATTTCAGTTGACGGTTTGAAGTTTTCCCCCTTCATTTTGTCAACTACCCAGTCTCCTTTTTCACTTAAAGTTTCTATGAAAAAAAGGGAGAATCCAAAACTTTCAGCTTCTTATACTTCATGTCTACCAGTCCGGATAGTTTCTTACAAAGTAGAATTTGGGAATGGGGCTTCCACCGGTCATCTAACATCTACTCGCACCTCCTAAGTTTGATGCGCTTCTCTATTAAACATATTAAAGCTTCATAATTTTCTTTATATTTGAAGCTACTGATCTCCCTGTTGGCTTCAAACTTTGTTAAAAATTACTGGAACCAGAAATTTTAATTAAAAAAAAAAAGAAGGCAAATAAAGAATGTACAATAAAATGTTTACAGTGGCTACTGCTACATGAATGGCTCATAAAAAATTTTAATTTTCTCCTTGTTTTCTTCGGAGTACTTCCAAAATATCCTACAATAAATGTAATTGCTTTTTGGGGCTTCACAGAAAAGTAACACCATATTAACTTTTTAACATTATTCATATGTAATATAGACACCTCCCAAATTATCCTTTCATTTTATGAATATTTATAGGATACACAGCATAAAAGGAAAGCTTTTTATCTTGAAATGAACAAAGAGTAAAAAGCCTTTTTGTGGCGGGAGAAGGGCTGAATAAAAACATTCACATTGTTGAAAGCAGTGCAATTAAAGGAATCAATGTTTTCTCAAAATATGTTAAAAGGCAAAAAATACCAAGTTAAAGCTAATAAAAATTTTACACTCTTCTTGGTTTTTCCATCAAAAAAGCAGGTGTAAGTTAACAGTTTGAAAATCCATTCCTTACTGTAACAAATTTTAATAAAAGTTAAGGTTGGGGAAAAAAGACTGGAAATACATTGTATCAATACTTTGTTCCTTTATTTTTTCTACACTAAAAGGTAAATTATACCAAGAAATTATTTTCTGCTCTAGGGAAATCTTAAGAAAAGTAAGCTTATTCTGAAAAACAAAGATTTTAGGAGTTAGGTGTACCCCACTGCCAGCAAGATGCGCTCTCCCGTCTACAGAGCTAGCTGTAACTCACAGCTGGGATGTGCTGCTCTGTAGGAAGCTCAACTGGACTGGAAAAGAACCATTACAATAAATCAGGGAGCAGTGGGCAGTTCTACCCTGTCCCATAGGGTCACTGTGAGTCAGAATTGACTCGACGGCAAGGGTTTTTTGTTTTGTTTTGTTTTGACGGGTGTATGTCTATTATTATACAGTGATTATAGGCTGATTTCATTCCACAGATGCATCATCAGAGATTCAGATTGAAAAGAGGTTGAAAGTGGAAAATCTGTATTTTATTGAAACTCCACAGACAGTCTGGTGATCAGCCGGGATGGGAAGCTTGAGGAGGAAGACGGCGCCAGACTGAGGAACAGCACAGGGATCAGAGCAGGGAGGAAGACTAGCGTGTGCAGTACCGCGACGGCCAGGTGCTCACTGGTGATCCTGAGAGGAGCCGTTTTAATAGAGCAGTGAGGGCGGAGGCCAGGTCAGGGCGCAACGTTCAACCAGAGGCAAGTGCAGCGAGTGGAAGTATAGCAAGTACATCCAAAAAGAAGTCTAAGTACAAATGAGAGAAGTAAGAAAGTAAACAGAAGGGAACGTAGAGTCCAAGGATTTATTTAAGAGAGGAAAAGCTTGAGCGTCTTTCAATACTGATGAGATGATTAAGAAAATGAGAGAATGAAGACACAGAAGTAAGAGGGGACGGTAAGTGACAATAAGGGTAAGAAAAAGCGGGAGCAGATGGGTTTCCATTCATGTGGGGGGCTGGCTGTCCGGGTAAAAGGATGCGGAAAGATGAAAGTAAACGCTGAGCTCCCCTAATTCTTCATCTGGTGTACTTACACACCTTCCTAGTAAACTCCATTACTCGGATTTGAGACTCACCCACACTAGATCAGAAACAGTCAATCCAAAAGAAGAGCTACTGCAGGCAGGAGGGCAGTGAGAAGTGAAAATTATCACTTAACAGGCATCTCCACACCAGAGAGGAAAAACCTTTGCCAATTTGGCAGTATCTATTAAAATATAAAATGCATATGCCATCTGACAAAACAATTCTATTTCTATGAATTAATCTTATAGAAATAATGACAAAAAGTTAACCGCTACACGGCCTATAATTACAAAAAAAGAGGACCAACACAAACATCCAGCGATAGAGGACTAGCTAACTGAACTAAACATACATCTGTATAATGAAGTAATATACGACCATTAAAAAGACTGCACCATTTGTAACCCCATTGCCACTGAGTAGATTCCGACTCATAGAGATCCTAGAGGACAGAGTAGAACTGCCCCATAGGGTTTCCAAGGAGCAGCTGGTGGATTCGAACTGCCAACCTTTTGGTTAGCAGCTGTGCTCCTAACCTCTGCACCACCAGGGCTCTGAGCTATCTGTAGGAAGATGGAAAGATGTACAAAGTATCCTTTTAAATGAAAAGAGCAAACTGCAGAACAGTGTTATATGACCCCATCTGTGCTTTAAAACGGTAAAAAAAAATTATATATATATATATATACATATATAGGAGTTCTGGTGGCACAGTGGTTAAGAGCTCAGGCTGCTAACCAAAAGGTCGGCAGTTTTAATCCACCAGCTGCTCCCTGGAAACCCTATGGGGCAGTTCTACTCTGTCCTACAGCGTCCTATGAGTCGGAATCGACTCGACGGCAACGGGGTTTTTTTATACATATGTATATATACACACATATATACATCTATATTCACATACATACACATACATAGCCTTTAATGTACAGAAAAAGGTCTGGAAGAATGGTTGTCATTGGGTACTGAATTTACACACACACACACACACACACACACACACAATCAGAAAAACAACAATCAAATAAATAATTACCTGTTAGATAAAATACATAATTCTTTTAAACTTGGAGCCATGGAATGATCTTTATAATTTTCTCGACAGAAAAATGTCTTAAGGCCATTTTTTGGGGAAATATCCCTGTGAAACAAAGCAATTTACTTGCATTTGACAATTTACAATCTTACGTTAGACTAAGAAGCATAATGGTACAACAGTAATTTACAACCACTTCCCCTCCATCCCTCCTTCCCAATCACCTCTTGACAATTTTAATTCCATGTACCAGATCTGCGACATCAGATGTTTTACTTCTTGGACAGCTTCTAGCCTAGGCCCATTCTGAAATCTTCCAGTTCAACAATCAGCCTTGCCTTGTTTTTTTAAGTACCCAATTAAATAAATGCCAGAGAGGTTTGAGAGTAAAGATACGATAGAATGAAGTATAATGAAGGGCCTGTCGGGGCAGGGCTCACCTCTGGCTGCGAGGCATAACATTAAGATATTTGAATGCTGAAGGAAAGCACTTCTCATCTTATTTTTATTCCATGTACTACTGTGTTGGGCCAAGAAACTACACTATAAAGACCCAAGATTCCACCTATTTCCATTAACTTGGCAAATGGGAGCAATGGTGTGCTTTTGCTAAAACCACCTCTAAGGTGATGCATGATTTTTCGTAACATAATTAATTTAGACACTAACATATTTTAGCCTTTAGTCAATACTTTGCATTTAGTAAGCATTCAATCAATGTTGGTTGAATGAAGGAATTAAAAAATGAGTAACATTGAGAACCATTAACCTCGAGAGGACAAAGATTAGTTGGATTTAGCGGGAAAGGATAGTTTCAAGGGCTGCAATACTGTACACAGGCTCTAAACCAGATTTGGCTCTATGTTAGTGGCGTATAGGACCATGTGTGCTGGCTCTGAACTCCTACTTTATGGCAATGGCAAGGAATGCAATGCACACCTCTTAAAACCTCCAATAACAAAACGCTCTAATCAAATTGCCCTGGCTGGCCCATTCTTAAAATGTAACTAGTATACAAGAATTCTAGCATTTTGCTCCATAGTACTTCTTACTGTTGGTGCAGTGGTTAAGTACTAGGCTGCTAACCAAAAGGCTGGCAGTTCAAACCCACCAGCTGCTCCGGGGCGGGGAGAAAGATGCAGCAGTCTGCTTCCGTAAAGACTACAGCCTTGGAAACCCTACGGGGGCAGTCCTACTCTGTCCTATAGGGTCACTATGAGTTGGAATCAACTGACCAGCAACGGGCTCTGGTTTTTGGTATCCAAAAAACTGTGATTAAGGTATTAGTGATAAGATTAGAGTTTCTTATTTGCTATGCACCACTGCAGAGTTTCTTACTACCTTGCCATAGTACCGTATCTGTGATGTCCTACTCAGCGCTAAAGTTTCTGCATATCACACAAAAACAAAGTCGTGGGCGTCAGGGATTTCCAGCTCCTTCGGGATGGGAAGATTTTTTTGCAATAAATAAATACTTATTGAGCAAATACTGATTTAATCTTCTTTGAGTCAGGTACTATTTTAATCATCTTTGTAACCTCTTGTGACTTTTGCATCAGCCTAGGCCGGCAAAGAGAACCTGCTCAGTAAATGTGCACTGAACTGATTTAAAGCAGCATACGGATTCACTAGAACTCTACAAAACCAATATGTTACTTAACTCTATTTGCCAAGTTCTCATACACTTCTAAAATAAGGAATAAGCATTGACATTAATACGTGAGATAGACTTCAATATAACAACAGGGGATTCACTTTTTAAAAGGGTCCTTTTACTGCCTATATGGAAATGGGCAAAGTTCTTGGATACAAGAAAATTCCAACATCTCTCCTTTGCTAAGAGACTATCAACAGATGCATGATGGAATTAGACCTACATAGCAACAATCTGAATGCCGAGTTGTCGCTTTAGGGGTGGAAGTGCAATCAGCTGTATCTAAAAAGTGCTCGGTATGTGAATATGAGAATAGGGTAAATTCTGAGGCCCTGAACTAGCATCTTCTTTATTTCCTTCAAATCTCTCCAGGCCAGAAACCCTCCTTTGCTATATTCATCCACCAGACCCACTTCAATCCTTCTCAGGGGACAGCAAACGGATGCAACTCACCAGTTCAGCCCTGGTTCACCCATGACCATCTTGGAGCTCATCTTCCTAGATTTCTGCTTGACTCTTTATCATAACTCTGCCGCCTGGCAGTGCAGGCTCAATGGAGGCAGGGTCCCTACAGACTCTACACTCTACTGTGGAAAAACAAAAGGTCAAGATCAAAAGCAGGCGATCCGCACGGGCAGGTAAGGTTAACGCAAGGGCGGCAAGAACCCCTCCTCAACGCGTACCCTCAACTGACTTGGGCACCCAACACAAAATATATCAGGTTCCCAAAGTTGTTTCCAGCAGAGCAGCAGTGATACAGGATGAGTCCTTGTCCACTTAACTCATGGCCAGGAGCGTCACTCTTAGGACGCTCCCCGAGGGAAAAAGAGTTGAAACATAACGGTGTTGTCATTGCGTACATTCTACATCACTTTCCTGCACGGAGCTGTGTCTGAACTCAGCTCTCCCCTACAGCCAAAATAAATCGCGCTTCGGTTTTCCTAATTACACACTGTTACGGGCCGATTCTGGCCGACAGTGCAGGACAAAACTCCCTGGATATCAAGAATCTGAGACCTGGAAGTCTTTCCCAGAGAACCTCACACTGCTGGAGACTGAGGTCCTGGCCACTCCGCTGACACTTCACGGGATCCCCTACAGCCATCAGGAATGCCCCCATCACCCGGGCGGACTGACAGCGTGGTATGCGAAACACGAACAGCAAACTGGGTCGGTCTCCCACTTAATTACACTTCGCTTAGTGTGCGGCAGGGCAGGGGAGGTGAACGAAGGCAAAAAAGGCGGCCGAGGGACAGGTGGCGGAGGGAGAAGAGAAACAAGGCTCCAGGAAGGGAGGTAGTGAGGCGCGAGCCGAGAGGGGAGGAGGTCGCGCCAGGGCGGGGAGCGGGGTTCCTGGCCCGGCCGAGGGGGCCGCCATGTTCTCTTCCCGCCCTCAGAAGCGCGTCCGCCTCTGGGGCAGCGCCCTCCCTTCCGCGGCTCCGCAGCAAGGTAGCCCTTCCGCCCACCTCAAGGTCCGCGGCGGCTCGGGCCTCGGCCGAGGCCCCCCGACACTACACCCTACGCCTCACACTGCGCGCGCCTGCGCATGCGCGCGCCGGAAACCCTTATATAAAGGACGTGGCCGCGCCGCCGCGGCCTTGCGTGATGACATCACCAGCGACGTGGCGGGCGCGGCCTGCGCGCCTGGAAAGGGTTTACCTCGCCGTGCGTACTCGCCATGTGGTTCAGTCAGCGAAGGGCGAGAGGAGACTTGTTGGGTGGAAGCGGGTGGGGGCTGCGTGTTGTCATCAGAGAAAGTCCTTGACCTTGGAGCAAACTCTCATAAGTTCCCAGTGATAACTTGGAAAGAGGACTGGCGACAAGAACAGTACAGAAAAGACCCAAACAGACTTGGTCGTGAGCGGGGACGGCTTACGCAATAAGCAAGGTACGCAGGGGCTTAATTGTACTTACTTGCTAATCTGTAGTGCACCATTTCACCTGTTTTTCACAGCGTTGCTATGGTGAAACCCATGTGAAATGGCGCACTACAGATTAGTAAGTAAACACAATTAAGCCCCTGCGTACCTTACTGAAGACCACCGTGCTTACTGGTGGGTTAATCGGCCCTTGATTGTGACTTTAGGCAAATTTCTTAATTTCCCTAAGTCTGAATCCTCATTAGTAAAACGGAGATGATAGTATTAGCACCTACTTGGTGGGTGTTTTTGAAAGGATAAATGAAATAAGGGATGAAACTGTGCTCAGCACCGGGGGTGAATTTAACAGTAAGCAAGGTACACTCGGGTTTACTCTTGTTTACTGACTGAACTGTAGTGCACACTTTCACATGGGTTTCACCACATCTTGCCATGGTAAAAACAGGTGAAATTGTGCACTACAGATTAGTAAGCACAAGTAAGCCTGTGCTTACCTTGCTTATTGGGTCATCTGTCCCTGTTGAACGCATGGTACCCATGGCCCTCAAGTCGATTCCTACTCATACCACATCTCCTCTACGCCTCTCCCCATTCCAGTTTACATGCCGGTTTTCAGCAGTGATCACTCTGGTTCTAGCATAGTTTTATCGATTGAGCAGTTACCATAAAATTGTGCTTGGTGATGGATACATGTAAGACTAAGAGTGAACACTGGTTTTCTAACAGCTTCTGATCTTTGGGAATCTAAGACGTTTACATTAAACAATTATAAAACAAAATAGAAGGTGATAAATGGCTTAAGAGGGACATATAGAAAGGATCATGTGGGTTCAGAGAGGGGCATGGAGCATCTTTGAATAGCTAACGAGATTTATCGAGTACTTACTATAGAGTCACTATTGACTCGACAGCAACAGATTTGGTTTTTTGGTTTTACTATGTGTTGGAGTCCCTGGGTGGTGCACAGGCATCTGGAAGAAAGACCCGGCCATCTACTTCTAAAAAATCAGCCATTAAAAACCGTATGGGGCACAGCTCTACTATGAAATGCATGGGGTCGACATGAGTTGGAATCAACTCAACCCACGGCAACTGGTTTTTACTATATGTCAGTTACCACATTGGGCACTTGACATCGTTGGCTCATTTGAAGAATCTGGGCGGGCAGAAAGGTGGGAAAAGCATTCTAGACAGAGGGACCAGCACAGGGAACTGCTTAAACCTACTGCATGAACACAGTCTAGTTTGTGTGCTCTCGGGAAAGCATGCTCTAAATTTTAGAATGATTTACTATATTGTTAAAAATTATGTTTATGTTAAAAAAAATTCCCTTGAATACAGAGACCTTTTGGTAGTTCATTTTGGCTGGAATGCAAGGTGTATGAAAGGTGTTGTTGTTGTTAGGTGCCGTCAAGTCAATTCCGACTCATAGTGACTCCATGTGACATGATAGAACTGCCCCATAGGGTTTTCTAGGCTGTAATTTTTATGGGAGCAGATGGCCAGGTCTTTCTCCTGTGAGGCACTGGGTGGGTTCAAACCTCCAATCTTTCGGTTAGCAGCCAAGTGCTTAACTGTTGTGCCACCAGGGCTCCTGTATGAAGGGTATTAGAGAAAAAAGGTTTGGAAAAATAGGATGGTGAGTCCAGACCATAGAGGAGCTTATGAGCCAGACTGAGGAATTTTTACTTTATTGTATGGGAAGTGGAATGCTGCTTCAAACAAACAAAAAACAGGCTTATAAGCAGAAGGGTGACACCGTCAGAGTTGCTGTGCTTCAGGATAGTTTATCTGGCAATGGAATGCACAGACTGAAGGGAGGCTGGTTAGGAGACAGGGCTTCTGAGTGCTCGCAGAGGAAACGAGCTGTGCAGTGCCTGGCACTGTGCAAGCAGCATTTGCTATAGGGTGAGTGGTGTTGATGGCTTGTGCCGGGACAGGGACGACCATTACGGAAGTGTATAATTTGAAGTGTTGGGTATTACTAGCTCACAAAGCATGCAGTTAGGGAGAGTAGGGGAGTCTTATCCTAGCCTTTAGCAACTACTATAATTGTTCAAGAACTCATGCAGCTGGCATGTCCCAGCCCATACCAGCATGGTAGGGCAGCATCACCAGCCCTGCCCTGTGTTGAGACTCCAGATTGTCATCAAACAGTATGCTCTGGTCTGGGCTGCAAGATAGCACGATCAGAATTTTTAGAGCCAGATGGGAATTGGAGATTATCTAGTCCAATGCTCTCATTATCCTGATAAGGGAACTGAGGCCTAGATTGTCAGGTGACTTTTCCAGCATCACATAATTAGCAATAAAGCAAAAATTCAGGTTTCATAACTTTTGCAGTCACAACATTTTAAGTACATGCATCCTTTCCTCTTTATGCCCTGCCTTGTAAACTAGAAGCAGCTTGGTGATAACAGCATGAATTTTTGGCACCCATCAGATAACGGTCTATATGTCAGTTTTCCTGCGAACTGGCAGTGTGATCCTGGGAATGTTGCATCTCCTCTTTGAGCCTAAGTGTCCTCATCCGGATAATGGGAACTGTAATACCTGACCTACAGGATCGTTCTCAGGATTAGGAGGGATATGTGAAAAGTGCACGTTCAACAAATGGTAAAACCCGTTGCCATCGACTAGATTCTGACTCATAGCGACCCTACAGGACAAAGCAGAACTACCCCATAGGGTTTCCAAGGCTGGAAACCTTGACGGACGCAGACTGCTACATCTTTCTGCCGCAGAGGCTCTGGTGGGTTTGGACCACTGACCTTTCGGTTAGCAGCTGAGTGCTTAGCCACTGCACCACCAGGGCTCCTTCAACAAATGGTAGTTATTAGTAAATGCTTTTTCTGTAAAACAAAATTTCAAAGATGAATAAAACACAGTGAAGGTAGCATTGTAAACAAATGATTATAATACAAATAAGATAATGGTCTAGCACACACACAGTACACTCACATACACATTATAGAAGATTCTACGGGAACACAGAAGAGGAACCATCTCATTTTGACTGGGACAACGTAGAGACCACTTCAGAGAAAAAGTTTAATTTAAATTATGTCTTCAAGGATGAGTAAGAGTTTACTGGGTAAAAAAAGGGGGTGTGGATTTTTCAGGCTGAAATAAAACAAAATAAACTAAAACATGCCAAAAGCAAAGAGGTATGAAATAGCTCCACGTGTTCTAGGGAAGACAAAAGGCTCCTCATTGCTGAGGGGTGGAGTGAAGGCCACTGGGCTGGGGAAGGGTTGAGGAGTCAGGCTAGAGAACTTGGACTTCATACTCCAGGTGGTGGGAACCACTGTGTGTGTGTGTTTTCAATGGCTTATGAAGGTGTAACCTACATACTATGAAATCCACCCATTTCAGTGTCCCATCCAGTGATTCTTAGGGAATGTGCAGAGGTGTGCACCCATCCACACCATCAAGTTTTGGAACATTTCCATTACCTCAAAAGATTCTTCGTGCCCACTTGCAATCAAGCACCGTTCCCACCTCGAGTCCCAGACCGTGCCACCTACCAATCTGCTTTCTGTCTCTATAGATCTGCCTTTCCCGGACATTTCTTATAAATGGCATCATACAATATCTAGTCTTGCAGCTAGCTATTCTCTCTTAAAATAGTATTTTTGAGGATCATCCATGTTAGAGCGTGTATTGCTCATTCATTCCTTTTTGTGGCTGAACAGTAGTCCATGTGTGCGTATACCCTGTTTTTCCATTCAAGCTTGATGGACATTTATATTGTTTCCATTTTGTGGCTATTATGAATAATGTTGCTATGTGTGGACATATGTTTTCAATTCTCTTGAGCAGATACCTTAGAGTGCAATTGCTGGCCTTATGGTAAATTCATGTTTACCTTTTAAAGAAACTTCCAACTGTTTTTCAAAGTGATTGTACCATTTTATACTGTGCATTTTTAAGCAGAAGAAGGATTTGATTAGCCCTTTCTGCTAACCTGAGAAAGAAACAAATGCATCAGTTGAATGAGAAGACAATTTGGAAAGAATTTACTTGTTCTGATTTTATAAAATGTTTCATGAGAACAAAATTTTGAAAAGAATTTTTAAAAGTACAAGCACCTGGCTAAATAAACTTACCATAGTTGTTACGAGATGGCTATTTCTTCTTGTGGGCCGAATCAAGACAGTGAAATGTACCAGATGGTCTATTTTTTATCAGTACGGAGTCATTTTCCCCACCTTCAGCTAACAAGCTTCCTTTGCTTGCTTTGGGGTGCACTTGGCCTTCGCGAGTTTATAGCTCAGTAACTGCTTCACTCAGGGGATTGCTTCATGAATTTACAATCATCCACAAGGTACTTTCACCTGAGAGTCCAGAAATCAGCCTCTGGCAAAAAGGTTTCAATCCAGTA